TGATCTGCTCAGACCTGCTGTACCAGGCTAAGGAACAGTCATTGCCCATGAAGAGCTCACATTCTCCAGCAGTCAGAAAATATGGATAAACCCACCATAAATCTTCATCACAGAGTTAAAACGGATGCATGAAAACTAAGGAGTAAAGCATGGGCCCAGGAGACATCAGAAAGGCACTGACGCCTGGGAGTGTTTAGAAATTGGAGTCGGGGTCTTCCACACAGCTCGGGGCAGTCTTGAAATCACTGCCTCAGCTTCCCAGGTGCTGGGGTGGCAGGCAAATGCCACCACACCTGGCTGCTCGAAGGGTTTTGAAGAATGAATAGGAGTGTGCCTGGCCAGCAAGAGCAGCTCTAGAGTTGAGCAGGTGTGAAGGCATGGAGGCAGGAGAACAGGGTGACTTTCAAACGTGATTTGAAAGGGTGAGTGTTAGGAGCTGCACAAGAGAGAAGCTATGGAGAGGGAGGCCATGGACTTTCAGGGTTGGGAGATAACTGTGTCCTGAGCTAGTGGATCCTGGAGATGTTTGAACTTAGATGGTGGCCATTCCTGTCAGAGAGGAAAGAAAGGAGGACCATTTATGAAGCAAAATGATCACTAAGTCATGGTTCAGATGCTGAGGAGAGACAACAAAAAAGCTGTGTGCAATGGTCACAACTGCTTCTGTGATGGTTAAAGAGGGTTCAAGTAGGAGGCATACAGTAGGGGAATTGTGTCTGACTAAAAACTGTCTCACAGCAAGCGAATCAGTTCAGACATACATACTTTTTTTTTTTTTGAAGAATAAAGAGCCATGAGAGAAATGCTCTTTATTCTTCAAAACAAAGTTCTTCCCTTAAGTTCTCTTCAAAACTTTCTCTCCAAATATCCTCTCTCAAAGATTTCTCCTCAAGCGGGACGGTGGTGGCGCAGGCCTTTAATCCCAGCACTCGGGAGGCAGAGGCAGGCGGATTTCTGGGAGTTTGAGACCAGCCTGATCTACAAGAGCTAGTTCCAGGATAGGCTCAGCCAAAAAAAAACCCTGTTTAAAAAAAAAAAAAAAAAAAAAAAAAAAAGATTTGTCTCAGAAGTTCTTAAAAATTACCGTCTAAAAGCTCTCTCTTAAAGTTCTCTTTAGAAGTATTCCTTAAAAATTCTCCTCCTTAAAAATTTTTCTTAAAAATTCTCTTAGAACCCACAAGGTTTCCAGCTTAGACACCCACAGATGCTATTGACAATAGGGCCTGTAGGGCCTGTAGGGCCTGTATATCTCTCAGAGCCAAGAAAGCAGATAAGGTCTTGGCAAAAGCAGTGTGCCTCATGTCCCGGAGGAGACATGACTTTCCAGCATGTGCTGTTCACTGACTAAAGGGACTTCTCGGCGCTATGTCAAAGGGAAACGCTAAGGCTGTGTAGTGTGAGATCCAGAGACTGCAGCTCTTACCGCTGATGCCCCAATGAGAAGGGACTACCTTTCTCTGGGGCCTTTTTGAGAATATTAAGCACCCAGTATATTTTCTATATGTCAAGATTATACAGCCAAATTCATAGTAACAGATATTCTCAAATCTGTATTTCTTGCAAGTTAATTCTGGTGTGCAGACTTAGAATATTAATTGCTACTCTGTAATAAATGATAAAGGCTCTCACAGAGGGTCCTGTCCGGACAAACAAGGTGGTATATAGGGAGACATCTGTATGCACCTTGGCACTGACCTCGCCCTTTTGGGTGTGGCCACAGATGCATACACGGTTGTGGAATAAAGATCTGAGGAAAGGGGACTCCTTTTCCTTTCGGGGTTCTGGTCAGGTCTCAGAGTGCTGCTGAGACTGGATTTCTCCTAGCACCAATCTGGTGATCGACTTCTCATGTAAGTGATTTCCCTTTAAGAAACTGAGCACCAATATCCATTTCCTGTATAAGATTCTGATTCCACTGCAGTGGTACTTGGGTTTATCATCCTACAGATGAGGAAACCGAGACCAAAGAGGCTGAGGTGACTGGTCAGAGTTCCCACTGAACTAGAAGCTCAGCTCTGAGCTAGAAAAAGAGAGCAGTGGACAGAGGAAGAGATGGGGTTGTTCCCCAGGAGACAGGCATCCACACATCTGTCTCCCATGATTTCCTCACAGACGTATGCAGTCTGCCGCAGGAGGCTGGCCCTTGCTTGGCTTACCTTCCACGCTGGTGGTATAATAAAGAAACTGAGCTCTGTACCGAATTCATCTATGGTGGTTGCCAAGGGAATCCTAACAACTTCCAAACTGAAGGTATCTGCAGAGTTATCTGCAAAAAGAAACGTAAGTGCTAAATGGCCCCAACCTCCATTTTTACTAAGTCTAAACAGCTATCTGTCCTTTCCAAGCCTGAGCAGTCCTGAGGTGCAAATGGAAGGACCTGGAAAAGAGAGGATAGGAGGAAGGTAGTTGGCAAAGGGATGCCGGCAAGTCCGAGGTGAGTAGTGGGAACAGACACAGGAGCGGGGGAGTGCCCAGACCAACTCAGAGAAGGAGCATGTGAGCTGCCATGGTCACCACACTGAAACAACAGGAATAAAGTGCTGTAACTCAGAAGGCGTGATGACGCTGAGCCCAGCGCTCACAACACTGCTGGTTTCCCTGCATGCCTGAGGATGTATTAACCCATCCCCTTTCATAAGCTGAAAGATCTGGTTCCTACGGTGACTGAAGCCATTCTTACCCTTGTGTCTTGCAGATCTGTCTTCCTGGATATGATAAGATTGAGCTGGAAGAGGCTCCAGGTCTTGGCTCCTAAACTGAAGCTTTCTTCTGTAAGCCCAACAGTTGCTCTGGATTGGCCCACACCAGCCAAGTCGTAGCCACTAAGACTTTGGCTGTTCTCACAACAGAACCCCAGAATTTGCTTATTCCTTTTCCATCACCCCAGCTTCACTTTAGACATAATGCCTTCAACCTTTGACCTCCTTCTCAGTGTAAGACCCCATCACCTCAACTTTCAAGACTCTCTTTTATTCCTATGAAGACTCTCGTTTCTCCTAATAAAGGATTCTGTGAGTTCAGATGTCTCAGGGTCTGGATAATTCATCTGTTGTCTGCATGTGTTCACATCTGTTCACAGCCCTCGGGAGGCAGACGTTCACAACCTTCTCTATGCAGATGTTCATGTCTGTTTACTGTCATAGAGACCAAACTCCAAGGATTACATACACACACACACACACACACACACACACACACACACACACACACACACACACTGTAACATAAATTCATTGAAGTTTTGGAGTAAAATAGTGAGTATTCAAATATCTGTGGTGATTTTATATATCAATAAAGTTACACATGAGGGAAATTTAGAAAACAATTATATTTGCATCAGTAACAGCAACAAATCCCAAAATTCTTCAAATCATTCAAAGGACAAAAGATGTGTACATCAAAAGTCATGAAGCATTGATGAAGAAAATTAAAAAACAAAACACAGATTTATTTAAAAATGTCTTAGATTCGTAACTAAAAAGAATTCATATTGCCAAAATATCCAGACTACCTTCAACCTGTTGTGGTCTAGTCCTTTATAACATGTGAAGATGTGTCATTGTAACTGGTGTAATAAAAAGCTAAACAGTCAATAGCTGGGCAGGAGGTATAGTCGGGACACTTCTGGATGGAAAGAACTCTGAGAAGAAAAAGGCGGATTTGCCAGCCAGACATGGAATAGCCAGGGTGGGCATAATGAAGACAAGGTGATGATCGTGTGGCAGAATGTAGATTTAAAAATATGGATTAATTTAAGTTATAAAAGCTAATTAGAGGGCTGGAGAGATGGCTCAGAGGTTAAGAGCACTAGCTGTTCTTCCAGAGGTCCTGAGTTCAATTCCCAGCAACCACATGGTGGCTCACAACCATCCGTTATGAGATCTGGTGCCCTCTTCTGGCCTACAGGGACACATGCAGACAGAACACTGTATATATAATAAATTAAAAAAAAAAAAAAGCTAGTTAGAAACAAGCCTAAGCTAAGCTAAGGCCAAGCTTTTATAATTAATAATGTCTGTGTCGTTTTTTTTTGTAAGCTAGCAGCCCCCCCCCAAAAAAGTTCATTTATACCAACTATCTCTATACATTGCACACAACAGAGCACTTTAACAGAAAAAAGAACAAGAAGGCCCAAATTTAAATTTCATTGTTGCCTTTAGCAACATCCTAGTGCATTCTTGTATATACACTCGCTGGGACAGAGTAGGGTGGAGGGAGCCCCTTCTCAGGGCCCATTTCCCATCCACAACAGGAAGGTCAGGGGTTGATGTTGTGAAATCTGGGAAAGCATGGCATTGAAGGAACCCTGCCAGATTCGATAAGCACCTGCAGCTCAATCATACTCCCCACACCATTAGGTGTGCTCAGGTTTGCCATACATGGGTGACTAGAACAAATTGCTCCTGCACCTATGAGACCCTTAGAAATGGCTAGTGTGTGCCCTGTGGTGATAACATCTGCTCCCAGGTCTGCTCAGGAATGTGCATAAAGCTCTCAGGGCTGGGCACAGAGACCTGAACTGAAGGGCCTCAGTGGAACCGAACAGCCCTACATCTCTTTGTTACTTCCTCATGACAGTAGATACCTTCAGGAAGACAATCTTTGGTTGTTTCCAGGGTGCAAGACCCCTCATCTTCCTCACCTGATGTTCTCCTTGGATCTAGAGATGGAAATGCATAGGGGGGCTTGGGTAACTTGGAAACAGGGGCATCCAGAACCACACTCTTCTTTTGTCTCTACGTGTGTACAAATGGAAAGTTCTAATAAGGAATGAACTTGTCCAAGACCACACAGTAGTATGTCATAACAAAATGGACTAAAACTTAGACCTAAAGAGTGGTTGGGGCTGGGCCTGATGGTGCTAGAGCTGTTACACAGAAAAACCCTATCTTGAAAAGCAAAACAAAACAAAAAACACAGGTGGCTTTGCTTTTAATATGCAGCATCTAACTCTCTTTCCTGGAGTTGAGGAATTCTCTACCAGGGAAGTCTTGCTTAGAGTTAAAACCACCATTTCTGTTAGGGCTGAAAAATCCAGACACTTAGTCTTTATTAGTCTTAGATTAATTAATTAATTAACAGAACACAGGGCTTGGGGGATAGAGCTAGCTCACTTTGAATCCCCAGAATCCACACATACAGAATAAAGCCAGGCACACTAGCACCTGTCTGAAATCCCAATACTCCTAGAGAGAAATGGGAGAATTCCTGAAGTTTGTAGTCCAGCTAGACTGGTGTACACAGCAGTAGATGTCAAGAAACCCTGTCCTAAACAAGGTGGGAGACAAGGACCAACACTCAGGGTTATTCTCTGACCTCCACATGTGTGTCGTGGCCTGCAAGCAGGAGCAAAGTCTGTGACACGCATACAGCGCACACATAGAAAAAGAATAAATAATACAGAAACAAAATCAGGCATTTGAAACCTGAGGTTTATAGCTGCGTGAGAAAGGAGGGGAAGCTGAGGCATTGTTCCTTCCAGATTTGGAAGCATAAAGATCATTTCATTGGAAGAATCCCTGGGTTCATGGAAGGAGCCCAAGTAAAGCTGGAGCTGATGCTCATGGAGGAACAGAGGTTGGGATGCCTGTACCTGGACTCCATCTTCTAGAATCATCTTCTAGAACATACTGTGGCTGGATTCTGACCTCTGAGGGTTCTAATGATTTCTGGTGCACTGGGTGGAAAGGCATGGAAACCTGGAGATGGTATCTAAGGGGAAATAAAGGAAAGCAGGTTTGGAGGATGCCAGAAGCCAGTGCAGGGACATGGACTTATTGGTGAGAGACAGTAGGTAAGTAATCAGTATATTTATTCTTCCCGCCCCCCCCCTTGCACCTAGAAGGAAATAAGTACACAATGTGGGTGATCGATCAGACTCTCCCATCTCAGATACTGCTATAATGAGTCTCACTATGTAGCTAACCTGTCTTCAAATTCTCTAGGTAGCTCAGGCTTGGCCTCGAACTCTGATCCTCTTGTCTCCACCCACTGGGTGCTGTGATAATTGGTACATACTACCACACCCTACTCTAATTATCATGCTCTTGGTAAGTTTTATCAAATGCAGAGCACACCACTTTTAATCCATCACACTTGTACTTTAGCCCATTCCTGACTCTTCCCATTAATTTTTCTCTGAAGACACACCCTTCATGTCTGCCTTTCCCGTTAAATACTGTCTAGCAATTCACTGTATTTACAATATGCACAATTTTTCTTCTTTTTACCACTGGTTTCTTCTTATTACCTATGTCAGTGTGTTGCCTTATTAGGTAAAAAGAACACATGGTCAGTGTTATTTCTAATTCAACAATAAAAGGACATGGAGATTTCAGAAGAATGATTACCTTGGATCTATTTGATTCAAGTCTAGGGAGAATTGCCTACTTCTCTCAACCTCCTTCTCAAAATAAATGTATTCCTGAATCTAGGCTGGGTGTGGTGGTGCACACCTTTAATCCCAGCACTCAGAGAGATGGATGGATCTCTGTGAGTTCCAGGCCAGCCTCGTCTATAGAATGAGTTCCACAACTGCCAGGGCTATCTAGAGAGGCACTGTTGCAATTAATTAACCAGTTGAAAGATGGAGTAATGTACAGATAAAAATGTATAGATGGGGGAATAACCAAGTAATTTTGATGATAAATTGGGCAATCCATGAAACTTCATGAACCACTATGTATAAAGAAAATAACACTTAGATTCATTGTCATGATTAAGAAACACTTGAGAAGAAATAATAGCTCAGTTTTCATCATAAACAGAAGGATATCAAAAAGTATTAGGATATATAGTCAAAGTGATTAAAGAGAAAAAGGCTATTAAATAATAAGGCTGGAATCAGAGTAACTACCCCTCAAAAATAAACACAAGAGCTGGAAAGATGGCCCAGTGGTTAAGAGCACTGGCTATTCTTGCTGATGACCTGGGGTCAATTCCCAGCACCCATGTTGGCAGTTCACAACTGTCTGTAACCCCAGTTCCAGGGCATCCAATGCCCTCTTCCGGCCTCTTCAGGTTCCAGGCAAGAATGTGTTGCACAGACCGATGTACAAGTGAGAGACCTATACACATAAAATAAATTTTCTAACTAAAATTTAACCCTCATGGGCTTGAAAAGTATTAAAAGTAAGTAAATAAAATAATCAGGTATGGTAGTACAGACTTTTAATCTCAGCCTTAGGGAGGCCGAAGCAAATGGATCTCTGTGAGTTTGAGGCCAGCCTGGTCTACACAGCAAGTTCCGGGCCAGCCAAGGCCACACAATAAGACCCTGCCTCAAAATAAGTAAATAAGTAAAAAGAAATAATGAAGACAATAGCCAGGCACAGTGGCACTGACTTTTGATCAAAGTACTCAGGAGGCAGAGGCAGGCATAGCTCTCATTCTGGGCTAGCCTGGTTTACATAGTGAGACCCTACCCCCAAAATAAATAAAGACAATAACACATATCAACAATAACTATTATTATTATATATTAAGAACTCCTGCCGGGCAGTGATAGCCCACACCTTTAATCCCAGCACTCAGGAGGCAGAGGCAGGTGCATCTCTGTGACAGCCCGGTCTACAAAGTGAGTTCCATGACAGCCTCCAAAGCCACAGAGAAACTCTGTCTCGAAACCCACCCCCCAAAAAAAGAACTCGTAGAAATCAATAATACACAAATAATATGATAAGAAGATTGGCCAAAGATGGGGCTGAGAAAATAACTCAGGTGATAAGAGTTTGTGAGCCCCTGGGTTCGGTCCTCCATATCATAAAAGGAACAGAAAAGATGCACAGACTTAGGAGCTGGAGAAGGGTGTTATGGAGAACCTCCAGGCGAAAAGTTTCTGCACCCCGATGAGCCTGTCTGCCAATGCAGCATCCAAATCAGACCAAATCAAACCAAATTAGAAAGGGCCCACATTTAATGGATACAATGCTCCTAGATGGCCTTCCAGTCTCCTAGAGAGAAGACTGGAAAGGGAGACCAGAAAAATCACAAGTCTATTTTCTGGGAGGCAGTTTAAATACCCTGTGGAAGTGGTCTTGAGCATCTCTGGGGGTCGGGGGTCATCATTTGGTGGGCTTTCTGAGATGCAGCAGGGTTTGGACGGAGATGGGGGAGGGGGCTTGGGTGCAACCTTCACCCTAATATTCCAGACTCTTTGGGTATGTGGATGCCAGGGACTGGGGTGAAGCTTTCACCATAGCATCAGGCTCAGCAGTTAAGAGCCTGTACACAGGACAGGGTTCCCACCTCCCATGTTGGAGGCTCACAACCACCTGTAACCCCAGCTCAGGGGGAATCAATGCTTCTAGCCTCCACAGGCACCCATGCTCACAAGAACTTATCTGCCCAACCTATGCATATACACGTAATTAAAATAAACCAGGTGGTGATGTTGCACACCTTTAATCCCAGCACTCAGGAGGCAGAGGCAGGTGGATCTTTGAGTTCGAGGCCAGCCTGGTCTACATAGCAAGTTCCAGGACAGCCAGGACTACACAGAGAAACAAAACAAAACAAAAAACAAGAAAACAAAACAAAAATGATTTTTTAAAAAATCATTTTTTAAAAAACAAAAGGATATATTGATTTTAAAAAGTAAACATACAGGGCATTTCTCTGTCTCTGTCTGTCTGTCTGTCTGTCTCTCCAGGGTTTCATATGACCCAGGCTGGCCTTGAACTCACTATTTAGTCAAGGGTGACCTTGAACTTGTGATCCTCCTGCCCCAACTCCAAGTACTGGGATTGCAAACATAAACCAATTTTGTTTTTACACTGAACTTTTGTTATTCTGCTTAAATACACTGGATCTGCTCCTTCTCCAACAGGTGGAGGTTTCCGACTTCTAGACTGAGTGTGTGTTGTTCCCATAATTCCCTGGGGGTGCCCAAGTGTGATGGAGGCAGAACCTGACAGTACAGTCAGCACAGTGGGAGACTGGAGAAATGTCTTTATAATAAACCAGGGACACATTCGAGGCTCTGAAACTTGCTTTCCATGTATGACACTTATCATAGTCTTTTTCTTCCTGAAAAATATACTGCTTTTGTGTATTTTTCTGCTGCTATAACAAAATCCCTAAGACTGGATGCCATATTTTAAAAGGGGGTTCACTTAGTTAAAAAAAAAATGGAAACTGAAGAGGCAGTCCCGATAACTTGACTTTCACCACTCCCACCCCAGTCAACTGCGTCTTGGGATGGCTGGTGGCATTATGGCAGGAGTACATTTGAAAAGAAGAGAACAAATGGTTCGGTAGGAAGTCAGAGAAACTCAGGGTTGTTCTTTTCAAGGGTTTATTTTATTTTTAATGGCGTATATGTATGTGAAGGGGGTCGTTCACCCGTGTACAGGTGTCCACCAAGGCCAGACATGTTGGATTCTCTTGGATGCTGGAGTTACAGGAAATGTGAGCTGTCCAACTTGGATGTTACGAACCCAAGTCAGGTCCTGTGCAAACTTCACTGACAATGTGTGAAATCTATTTTGTGTGGTGCCTGAAAACAAAAGGCACACTGCCTGTAGTAACTGTTGTTCCACTCTTGTTGAAGGGGCGTCTGTACTGAAGTGGCACATTGGTTTTGGAGGCCAGATCAGATATGTCCAGGAGGAGAGAGAGACTGTGCTTTTCTGGGACTCTCTGTTCCAGCAGCAGCCTGCTCCGTGAGCAGCAGCAGTTAGGGGCTAGTGAGCAGGAGGCAGAGCCAGCCCCTCCTCCTAGTCTCTTCCCTCCCTAAATAAGACAGCTCTAGGCTAGGCCATTGCCGGCAGACGCCATGCAGCTCCAGGCTTCCTTATCGTTTTTCCTGATCCTCGTCTTCTGCCAACATCTCTACTCAGAACCAAATCAAGGTTGGTATGAAATGGGTCTCAACATAGACCAGGAACTCTGCCCTGCAGTGCAGAGTCCTTTTTCTTATCCAGTAGGACAGGGAGCCAGGTCAAGTCACTGACAATGTCAGGTATCTGCTATGTGCCAGGCACCATCCTAGGACCTGGAGTTACAGCCACCAGCCAAAGACACTGCCTCTAAATTCCACCGGGGACAAAAGGCACACAGCATACATCATAGCATAACAGACAGTGAAGGAGCCATAGGAAGAGGAAAAGGCTTTAGAGTTTGGACTTGTGATAGCCAAAGTGAGACCAAGGAGGACGGGTGCAAGCTTAACTTTGACATGACTTCCTTACAGGGGCCAGGCTCCTTCCTGGGCCACTGTCTCTGCTGCAGCTTAAAATCTGCAGCGGGGTAGGGGGAGGACATACCATGACAAAGACGAAGATGATGACAATGAAGACAACAACGAATGTGGTGTATCCAGACCTTTTTTGTGAACAGTAGGATTCCCTTTACAAATATTCAGAGCTGGAATATACTTCGGTGGGGGAACACTTATTAGCATGCACAAGCCCTGGGCTCCCCCAAGTCAGTAGTATCAGGGGTCAGGTGCTGGTGCTACTACTTACAAAAACCTGTGCCTCAGGGGTGTTGCTTGGTCTCTCGGAATGCCAGTTTTTTTCCTCTAGAAGATAAGAGCAACAGTTGTGACTGCTTTGTTGATCAAATCTGATGTGTATATATTTGTTAGTATAACAGCTCTCAATGGCTTCACTTGAAATACTTCAGTCGCATTCAGAACACACACACACACACACACACACACACACACACACACACACACACACACACACACACACACGGGAAAGGGGATCATCCCATTACATATAAAAATAAATCAAGTGATTTCCTCTTGATTTTAATAGAATCAACTAAGAGGGAAGGCAAGACTATAACATTTAAGAGAAGGTGGGACTCCACCTCCTATTAAGTCACCTGGGGTCAAGGATGATGCTACTGTGACCCAGACGTCACATGCCATATGAACAGACCAGCCTGTCCCTCCTCCTTCCATTCCCGTCTTGACTGGATAAGCTTGTGTCCAGCACCAGCCTTAAGAGCACAGACAGGAGAGAACCTTAACCTCTCCCCTGCCTAGGCTGCTGCCAAATTCCACCCAAAGTGTGTTCATCGGCCTACTCATTCTACGATAAAGGAGACAGGTTGAGAACCTGCAGACCTCTGCCACTAGATTGTGCTGGTTTTTTGTCTTGGTCTCCCCACTTCCTGGCATAAGGACAGGTGCTTTATCTCTCGGTAGTTTCTTCATGTAGCATGATAAGCCATGATAGCTGGAGTGAAGAGACCCAGAGATACAGTTTAGGGGCGGAGCACTGGCCTGGCACACACCAGGCCCTTGGCATCTTCCACTTGCCCCAAGCTTACTATGAAGAGTAATTACAGGGACTGAGGAGACAGATCGTTCTGTGATGTGCTTTCCTTGAAAACATGTAGACCTCTGTTTGATCTCCATTACCTACATCAAAAGGGAAGGGCCTGGCATGGCAGCATGCTTGTAATCCCAGAGCTGGGAGGCAAAGACAGGGGGCTCACTGTCCAGCCAGCCTCACCTATTTGGGGAGCCCCAGCCAAGTGAGGGACTAGGACTCAAAAAACAAAACAAAACAGGCCCCCAGAAATTACTCCTACACACACACACACACACACACACACACGCAAGTGCTAGCGCTTACACATACTAAACAATAATTTCAAAAATAAAAACACACCTCACATAGTAACAAATAAAAGAAACTTCTAGCACTCCTTAGAGGAACTCATGGCTAGTGTTGCTTGGTTGAGTGTTTGCTGAGAACTCGGAGGTAGGAGGCCTGCTTTGGGAACTGGGGCTGCAGAGTTAGTGTTCAAAGTTTGTGTTGCTGGGTCCCGTTGCTTAGGAAGGAGAGGGTGCTTAGAGGCCAGTTCACCATTATCCATTGCTTTTTGATTTGTTGGACTTATCGGTGCTTTTTATGGGCTTTTTTGTTTGGTTTTGTTCCCTGTTGTTGTTTGTTGAGATGGGTCCCACTGTATAGCCCTGCCTAGCCTGGAGCTTTCCATGTAGACCAGGCTGGCCTCCAACCCACACAGGTCCTCCTGCCTTTTGCCTTTCCTGAATACTGGGATTAAAAGCATGTTCCACCTCGCCCAGCCCTCAACCATTGTCTTTAACCTTCAATTAGGCCAAAAATGTGAACATTAGATTCCATTTTATGGCCAAGAAACTCAGAGCAGAAGAGACGGGTCCTTCGTTCAGGGTTATTCAGCTAGAAAATTACTGAGTCAGACTTCAAACCCTGCTCTCAGACTCAAGGCTCACACCCTTTCCCTACAATCTGCCCATTCTGGAGCGGACTGCCTGATGGATCAGACTGCAGCACACAAATCTGAGGGGCAAAGGAGACACGAGGCTCAGCTCAGCTCCTTGGCGTCACAGACAATAAACCAGAGACTTGGAGAACTCGATGTCTCCACAGGCTCTTGGAGTCCTGGGGGGCAGGGTTAGGCTGTGAATCCATTTGAGTCAGAATCCCAGGCAAAGGAGTTCCCCTACTTGCAGAAGCACAGACTTTGGTTTCTGTAGAGATGCATATGGCTGGGTGAGGAGAGGTGGCTGTCATAGTCTCAGCCTTGTCATGGCCATGAAAGCCTCCAGCAGAGGGGAGGGTAGCAGAAGGAGTGGTGATGGCTTAGACCCTCTTAATCACTCTTCTTCTTTTTCTTCAAGTGTCCAGGAAGCCCTTGCCATCTATATGCAACCTTCCTATGGATAAAGGCGCGTGCCGAGCCCTCATGGTGCGATGGTACTATAATACCAAATCTGGCAAGTGTGTGAAGTTTAACTATGGAGGCTGTGGAGGCAATGAAAACAACTTCCTGAGCAGAGATCAATGCCGGTTAGCCTGCAGACGTGCCTGATTTGCCAAGCCTGTACAGTTCTCCATGGAGTCAAACTCCCTAGGGGGCCCCCTAAGGCTTTTGGGGTGTGAATAAAAAAATGCATTCCTCTTAATTCGTTTCCCTAAAATCAATTCTTTTCCTTGTAAAATACAAGTACATTGGGAAAATTTAGAAGTGCCACTCACATCTTAGTATGAATTACCGTTCCACCCACCTGAAGATAAAACCTTCAAAGTGAGAGGGGTGGTGGGCTGGAACTATAGGGGCCTATATTGGACTAAGGAAATAAATTACTCATGACGTAAGAGATGTTTGTGCCAGGTTCCACACTAAGCAGAAACAGGAAGAAAGGGGGAAATGGAGAGGGAAAAAAAATCCTGAAGATTTTAAGACCACCCTTAATTTTTAAAATGGGGAGTTTTTATCTGCTATAAAGCCATGTCTTTCTGTCACATGGGAAGAGAGCTGGTCCCAGAGTCCTTTGCTTTGCCTTATGCAACAATTATTACTCTCTGAAAGGAGGGAGGAAGACATGGAGCCTGTCTGCTGTGTTATTTCAAGGACAGATGAGGCACAAAAATAGGCAGGGACTTCCTTTTAAACCACAAGGTGGGGCCAGAGTGATACTAAGATACCTTAGTGGGTGCTGGGGATCCAAATTTGGTTCCTCACACTTGTTGCAGCAGGCTCTGAGGACTCTGAGTGTCAGGAAGCCTCAAGAGCGGATCTCCCAGCACTGAGTCTGGCAAATAGACAGACATGCAACATGAGTGATTTCTGAGGTGTTCCTCCACCTCTGAGAGGCCGTGGTGGCTCCATGATCCTTGGAGAATAAGGAGCACCACAGGTTGGTGCAAGGATTCACCAGAGAAATGCTAACACATCAGGACACCCCCGAATCATGTCTCATGACTTCAGAACCAATCTTTCCCTGGATTTTGAACCTGGATGACCCAGTTGTCCCAAACTTTCCCACCCTCCTAAACCAAGTCAGGGGGACAGAGCGAAGAGACCAGGTGTTATGACTTCTCCATTGCTGCAAGTGATCGCTTTATTGGTTGGAGAGGGGAGCTGCTCTTGTGGTCCGGGAAGAAACGTAAAGGCCAGAGAGAAGCCAGGCCACAGGAACGACACAAGATGCACTGCCCAGCAGAAGCATCTTCTCCCCGTTCCTCAGGCTGGTGGTGGCTGAAGCTGGAAGAAGAAAACCATGTGCCATCAACAATAACATCTGTCACACTAGACACACATGGTAGCAGTTTAAGTCCTGGCCCAGCTTTCTACTTACTCCACCACACTTGGCACACACAGTGTGCACCACCTTCTCAGGGGCTCTGCCTCCATTTCCCAGCAGGTTCTAGACCCGTCTCTTACACTTCAAATCAAACCTGTTCCAGGACCTACTTGGGCATACCGTAGTCCCAAATGACCACTGTGGCCTCTCTGGAGACCCATAAGCATTTATCTCCCTAGACTCTTCCTTCTGTCACCAAAAAGTCCCACCATGCCTTCATTCCTTAGATCAGCATGAGCTGAATTGGCCAAATAGAGGATGTTTATCCCTGTTCTGTAAGCAAAACAATTGTGGTGGAGGAGATAAAGAGGCTAGGTAAGGGCCAGAGCTGAAATCTGAACCCTGGTCTTCCTACTTGCAATGCCCACCATGCAGCTGCCATTCATGGAGATAAGAGACAGTTGGTGCCATAGCAGAGCTCAGGGTCCTAGGAAGACTGCAGTTCCCTCCTAGCCACTGGAAAGTATACTTTGAAATAACGAGTTTGAGACATTGGGCACATTCCCCTCTCTGGCTTCTGCTATCTCTGTGTGCACTAATGGATTTCCCCAGTGATCTGTGATTGCAACCAAAGGCTTGTCTGAGTTCTTGCTCATCCTGCTTCCCCAGCCTTGAATACAATCCCCGCCCTACATCCCATCAAACCGTGAGTCATTGCCTCATCCTTTTGTGCCAGCTCAAGGTCACACTCCACCCCAACCCAAGCTTTCTCCAACTGTTCCTACCGTATCCTCTCTCCCCCAAGTCTGAGTGACATTTCCTCTTCTGTTTCCCACAGCAGTGGGCACTGATTAGTGGTACAGGTCATGTCAACAATTCTGTCTCAGTCACTGCACTGCAAGCTCCAGGGAGTGGCCGGTCTCCTTTCTGTACCAGAACCTCCACCAGCCACACTGCTAGATCACCTAATGGGCCAACCAAGTGTCTGCCTGCCTTAGTTTTTCCCTTATTAATGATTACTGTGTGACATAATGCTATATTAAGTGTTCTGGGTTTGTGTGTGTGTGTGTGTGTGTGTGTGTGTGTGTGTGTGTGTTTCCTAAATGTATCTATGTGTACCTTATGTGTGTGCAGTGTCCTTGGGTGCCAGAAGAGGGCATCAGAGCCCCAGGAATTGGGGTTATAGATGGTTGTCAGCCACCAGGTGGATGCCAGGAACTAAACCGGTGTTCTCTGCAAGAGCAGCAAATGCTCTTAACCTCTGACTCACCTCTCTAGCCCCAACATGATAGTGTTTTCTTTTGAATCACATACAAAGGGAAGGATGACTCCAAGACTTCTTCTTTCAGGGCCTGAGGCACTAAAGGTACTGAATTTAGTCTTGTCTTGCTCAGAGTAAATGCTTAACCCATTTCAGACACAACTAATAAATGCAACAGAAACTAATGAGCTCAACCACCTTTGTCCACAAAGATGAACCTTTAGAGTAAATAAAGATCAATTCCTCAGTGTCCCATTCACCATGCAAACAGATACCTTCTCCTCAATCCCACTCTTCCCTACCCTACCCCAGACATCGTCCCTTACTCGTTTCCTTCCTGCTAAACAAAAAGGAAGTTCATCACTCATCAGCAAACCTCACCACTCTTCTTCATGAAGTGGTCAACTGGCCACCTCTGTCCCCTGCCTCCATCTTGGTCAGGCTCATCTCATCTGTCCACTCACAGGTGAGTCTGTGAATTTTTTCCTGCCCTCAACAGTCTAGCTACACCACAGCACAGGAGGGCCTTTTGAGAACACCAGGGCAAGTCTCTTTCTGAAGATACGCCTTTCTGGGTCAAGACAATGGGCTCTAAGGCCCTCCAATGGTCTGTCCCAGACCTTTGGACCTTTATATTTCCACCCAGTTTTGGATGCTTTCTTAAACATCCCAGTGATGTTTCTTGCCTTCATGTTGCTGTTACCTCTGCCTGGATACGCTCACATTCCTTCTTCACCCACTATCCCATGTGAAAATTAGAGGAGCACCCTTGACTCCCTCCCCAAGAGCCTTTCCCTCCTGTCCTCTTGGCCCCATGGCATGTACCTCCCTGTCACACTACAAAACAGCTTGTTTATTTCTTTTCTCATGAATTAGACAATAAGACTCGTCGCCCAAACTCTTTTTTTTTGGTGGGGGGGGGTCGAGACAGGGTTTCTCTGTGTAGCTTTGGAGCCTATCCTGGCACTAGCTCTGGAGACCAGGCTGGCCTCGAACTCACAGAGATCCGCCTGCCTCTGCCTCCCGAGTGCTGGGATTAAAGGTGTGCACCATCAACGCACAGCCCGTCACCCAAACTCTTGTCTGATTTGTTTGCTCACACATCATCTACATACTACAGATAAATATTAGTTGAGTTAATGGAAGCAAATTTACAGATTTATTATCACCGTGTGTTCCAAGGTCTTCCTTTTCAACTTGCTCTAAGTACCCCCCATACTTGGACATCTCTGAACCTGCTCTCCTGCTCCCACCTACCTCAGAATTTGGGTGTGGCACAGGTCATCTTCCCACAGCCATTGCGGCAGCATTTCATGTTGCCAGGACACTGAGTGTCCACCTGGCACTGGTCCTCGCAGATGCCGAGCTTGGGGAAGTCCACACTGGGGCAGGCGCCCTGCTTTTCTGGGTAGGCAAGAGAGTAAGGGGAGGTAAGCTAGGGGACACAGGCAGGCAATCGGCAGAGCATGGTTGAGCATGGTGAGCTACTTACTTCACCAATGACAGAGCTGCCTGCCTGAGTGGATGGTGGGAACCTGAGCTGCTCTCAGGGGTCCTGGGGAGATTATCAGCAAACCCCTACTCCTGCTCTCAGGTGGCTTTGAAATCACAGAACCTCAGTTTGAGTCCCAGCTCCACCTTTTTCTACCCTTGTAGATCTCCCAGAGACCCAGTCACAGGGAATCCCTGTCACTAACTACATTGTAAGGTTGCTACAAAAAAACAATTATCCACCACATACACCACCCTGAAAGACAAACTACTTGATAACAATGAATACTTAGAAGCATTAACACCGAATTAGCCCCTGTTGTGAGCCAGGCTTTGTTCATGCACCATCTCATCCAATTCTCACAATACATAAATGCTTCCCTTAATGTTTCTTTGCACTGGCTGCAGAGGAAGAAACTGACCAGTATGCTCTTAAGCTTCGCCTAAGGCCATACAGGATGAACCAAGATTTGAACCACGGGAGATCTGGCTCCAGGTCATCGTATGCTACTTCACAAGCTGTAAAGTGCAATGCCCATGTGAGGCGACACACGTTCCCTGCACTTATTCTCATGGGGTCACTACCAGTCACAATCACTCAGTGCCATGGCCCTCCATACATGCTCGATCGCCCATGTGCAGATCAAACCACCACACCCCACACCAGCTTCCATTAGATAGAAGTCCCAGGCAGGAGCAAGGCCCAGGAAAGGCAGGAAGTGGGTAAAGGACCATGAGAGGAGAGGCTGCCAGCATCCTGACTTTGCTAACACGGGTGCTCTAGAGCTATCCTGAGACAAGAGAGGGTTTATTCCAAAGCCAGCAGCCTTGTACAGAGTGTCCACTCACTGAGTAGATGCTTTTGGGTACCATTCCTTTAGCTCCAGCACCAGTCACTTTGCAAGTGAGCAGGCAGTTTCAAAGAGCAAGTTGCTCAGGCTCACATACCTAGGAGATGGTAGGGCTAGGATTCAAAGCCCCAGGCTCCTCCCTGGCTCCAGAGGCCATCTGGCCTGTCCATCTGACACAAGGAAGCAATGTCTTCACCCACCTGACAGAGCCCGATGTGCCAGTTGGCTCAACTCCATCTCCCCTGGGCATCCTTTTCCAGGCCCATCCATAGAGCCCTCCACAACCAAAAACTGCCCCCCCCCGTGGGCAAGTCTTCCTTCCACCCTTCCTACTCATCGCCTTAGGACTCCTAAGTACAAATTCTCCCAGCCTCTGCGGATATCTCTGGGGGAAATAGTAAAGGCAAAATAGGGGGTAGGGGCTGTGTCCACGACCAAGACCGGTAATTGCAAACCGCTGTGTTCTCATCTTGTTTCACCCCACCTCCTAAGCCTCTGCTTTTCCCTCTTGGAAATGGGAAGCTTAGATTCCATACCGAGGTCACCTTCTTCCCTGACCACAGGCCGCGGTGTGGTGGAGACTTGACTTCCCTCTGAAGGAGAAGTATGGAGGGCGGCTAGAGTAGTATCCCGTAGCTCTTTCTCATTCAGTCCTGAAGGTGGAGGAGATGGTTTTAAGGATAAAGGAGGGAAAGCCAGAAATGTCAAAGGAAGAAACGGAACCTCCACCAGCCACGGGATGGCGGTGTGACTTTGGGCAACAATATTTCTTTCAGTCGCTCACTTCCACAGACATAGGGTGTGGCAAAGTTCTTTCCCGCCCTCAGGGAGAAATCTGAGAAGTCTAGTCAGGCCAGGAGGTGGAAGATCCTGAGGGAGGGACTCCGGAGGCAATAGGTGACCAGGGCTCGGGTCCCAGCCCTGATGCCACCCAGAGATTGCCCGCAGTCTCTAGCCAAGGAAGCCACTGGTCCCGGGTCCCGGAACAAAGTCTCGCTGCGCGTGCCGGAAGCCCGTCATGCCCCAGAGAGTCGAGCCCAACCAGGAATGGGGGACCTCCTCCCCCTGGACCGCGCCTCAGTGACGCCTTTGTCCCCCCGCATCCACCCCAGGCCGGGCAAGGGAGGGCTCGGGTGGATCGGGTTTCCACCGCTTCAACCTTCCAGGGTCACTGGGTCTGGGGCGCCTTCTTCCCTGAACCCGAGCGTGCGCTCCCGCGGCTCGCAGCCCTCGGCGGCCCCGCCTTGTCCCTGCCCTGTCGCTGAGGGGTTACCATTAGGCGGGGAACAGACAGAGCTGCAGCCGGCCTGGCAGCACTTGAGGTTGTCCTGGCAGTTGTTGTCCGAGGAGCACTCCTTCACACAATCAGTGTTGCTCTGGAGCTGGGGGCACACGCCGGGTTTCTCGGCTCCCGCACCTGGGGATGGTGGGAGCAGAGAATTGTCAGGGAGAATCGAGGCCAGTCCCACCGGGATACCCACTCCCTGCTCCAAGAGTTTCACATTTTAACTCCAAGGACTTCTCTGGTCCCAGGGCCCTCCTAACACCGGGGCCAGGAGTCTCTGACACTTGGGGGTCTCTCTGATGCTTGGCTTCAGAGCTTCGGTCATCCTGGGAGCTTCCCCGCTCGATTGGGTCACTGCCTTCAGCCCAGGGAGAGCCTCCGCCCCTCCAGCTTTCAACCTGCAGTGGTCTCCCCGCCCCAGTGCATTGAACCCCAGATCCTAAGCTTTAAGAATAGCTAGTGTAGGCCCCAGAGTTAACAAAATTTAAATTCTCATTCACCCTAGAACCCCTACTTCTGAGACTCCCTTCTGGGCACGCACTCCCGGCTGCACTCACCTGCGCCTGAGAGGTGGGTGAGCAGCAGCAGTCCCAAAAGGCCTGCGGCCCGCAAGCAGAGGCGACAGGCAGGCATGGTGCAGGTGTGAGCTGCAGCCTGGCTGGGGGGGATTTAACCGCTCGCGCCGGGGGCGGGGCTGAGCGAGGGGTGCAGGAGGCGGGTAGGAAGCAGAGCGGGCAGCGCGGGCGCCCTGCCACCTCATGCCATTTCACAATCCCCCGGGATCAGGTGTCACTCTTGGCTCTGGTGGGAACCAGGAACCGAGACAGCTTCCGAGCCAGCTGTAGCCGGACACTTGTCCACCCCTCCCTGTCTTCCTACCTTTCTGGAGCCTGAGGGCGAGGCAGGGCAGCGGGAGCAAAGGGCCCGGGGCTCCGGGGCTCGTTTTTAAAGAGTCTGGGGTCCTCCCTGGAACGACTGGAGTCCAGGAATAAGGAGGAAAGGTCAAGGCTGCAGGGAGGCTACAGATGCTGGGGATTAAGTGCTGAGACTTGGGGTCAGACGGATCAGAATGCAGAGCCCTGTTCAAGGATTAGTAGAAGGCGGGTGTGGTAGAGGCTGCAGAAATGGCAGTCATTAACAAAGGAGCCCATCTGACAGGGAACAGGCCCTCGAAGCAGAAACACCCGAGCAATTTCCAGCCTTTTCAGACATTTCTGCCTCTTGCTAGCACACTCCATTAGGACAGAAGGGAGAGCACCTTAGTCTCAAGACATCTTTCTCTACGACTAGAGAGTTATTACTGTCAACTGCATGTGACACACGGGCTGGACATTCAGCGGCCTGACCCCAACCCAAGTTCTGAACCAAGGCTGATCCAGCAAAATTTTGGATACACATCTCTTCCTCTAGGCTGTTTCCTCCATCCCATACGCCTTTGCTGGGTGCCTACAGGATGACATACCGAGAGAGTGGCGATAATGACTGCAAATGGCAGGCACCTTTAGGGCAGATTTCTTGGCTAACGGCACAGCACCACAGCCCACAGCACCTTCAAGGTATCATCAGGCAAAACTTAGCAGTGCGAACTGGGCATGTGCAGGAATAGCCCATTCCCTAAGAGCCTCCCCACATGGATCTGTATATTCCTCCATAATAAATTCCTCACCCTTCCTAGCCTTCCTTTGTTGCTAAGAGTATCATTTTGGAGTTACTCTCTTGTTCTCCTGGCCTCTGAAGGTAACAAACGGGTCTCCTGTCTTTCGTATCTTGGCTGGATTCATTTTAGCTTCTCACCCACCAAGATGTGAACCACCAAATTCAGTTACCATAATCAAAAGGGGGCTGTCCAGCGCTGGTCGTGGGGTGACAGGGACTAGGTTTGACTTCCACCTACACCACTTTGCATTTGAAGGGCCTTGGATGAACCATTTCCCTCTTCTGAAAAGCCATTTTCTCATCTGTAAAAATACTGATTGGGGGGTAGGGATGTACCTCAGTGGACATGGCCCTTGCCGGGTATGTGAGAGGTCCCTAGGTTCAATTCCCCAGTACCACAAACACAGAGAGAAAGAATAACTATTAAAGTCGCATTCCATGAGAACCAGAATGCCATGCTCCTGCCCTGGAACAACCATGGAGTCCGTAATTATTGACATAGGAACCCCGGGGCTTGGCATATGACTACAACATGCATAGTCACAACTATCCAGCAAATGATACATGTCTACTGCTATGAAGGAGCCTGCTGAGTGAGCGCTACCCTTTGTGCTCCTGGGTCCTGTGTCCTTGGATTCAACCAACCTTTGATGGAAATACTTGGTGACAAAACTGTGCCTGAGTTGAGCATGTGCTGACTGTCATTGTCATTGTTCCCTAAACAATATGTGGTTATTTCGAATGATTTAAAGTACACCATAATATACATGTGTTCTAGGCAAACACGACTCTAGATTTTTATTTAATGCATTTATTTTTCTAAATGTACAGTCCATTGAACCTGTCCACACATCTTTGCCAGTGGCTGGGCCTTCTCCACACTTTGTGTTTCTGGTGTTCCGTGTCTTGAAGCAGTTTAATAAGTCCTTTACTAAGGAGCTCCTGAAGGGTTTCCTGCTAGGGAACCCCAAATCTCAGCCTCTGAGAGACCACAGTGGAGTGATAAGCTTCTAATCGGGACCTTTCTTACAGCTCTGTCATGCTGGACTAAGTGTCTGAGCATGTACAGACTTAGATTTGGGCCCCTTGTTGGCTTTGCCCAGGATTTGTCACTTTCTTGGTCAGCTCTCTGGCATCTTTCTCTTCCATCATCCTTGGGCAGTGTGACGACACTCTGGGAATAGCAGTGCCCACTATGACCCCCCCCAAGAGGTGGTAAAAGCCAGAGGTGGCAGACGACTCCAGGGGAACAGCACCATCCAGACATAACAGACGTGTGTCGTATGATACACACATGAACTCACAGAGACTGTGGCAGCACAAGCAAAACTTGCCTGGGTTCAAACCAGACAAAATCCCTGTGCTGAGGAGGGAAGTGGGCATCAAGTCCCACCCTAACCAAGAAGCTGTCTGAAATTGGAGTCTGCTAGGAAAGGGGAAATCACTTCTCTCTGAGTATATCGGCCACACTGCAGGCAGGCCCCAGCCCAGGAGTAGTGGGACACCACAAAGTGAACTCCATTTTTTTGTGTGTGTGCACTTTTTGTTTTGCTTCGGTTTTTTTTTTTTTTTTGTCTCACTTTGTTTTTCATTTGATTTGATTTTCATTGTGGGAGTGGGAGAGAAAGGACATGTAGTTGGCTGAGGAGGGAGAGAGGGTGGATCTACAAAAAGTTGGGGAAGGTAAGGAATATGATAAAATAGAGTAGCTCTTTAAAATTTTATAAAAAAAGGAAAATAGCCAGGCGGTGGTGGCACACTCGGGAGGCAGAGGCAGGTGGGTCTATCTCTGTGAGTTCAAAGCCAGCCTGGTAGACAGAGCAAGTTCCAGGACAGGCTCCAAAACTACAGTGAAACCCTGTCTCAAAAAAATAAAATAAATAAAATAAAACAAATATTGCTGGGGGGAAAATGTCAGGATATGCGGAGCCACTGCTTTCTACAGGGGGCTTGTGTGGGTTTGGGTGTTTGAGGGAGATGAGGAGATACCTAAGTAGAGCTGTGGATATTTAACTCCAGAATTCAGAGCAACAAATGCCAAAACAATGACCAAAGGAGTTGCACAAGAAGTACCTGCAAGCATGCTCCTAGCTGCAGCAGTCCAAGATTTTTACAGCCCAGGGGGATTTTTCTGCTGGGGGCAGGAGTTATCTGCAACAGGGAAAACTGGGATGTCAGCTGGGTCGGGTTTGGCAATATGGATGCACCCAACCACTGAGCTGGTGAAGGATGTTGGTAAAAGTGGCTGAAAAAAACGTCTCCTCCAGCTTTGCAGGCTGGGGACTGGAGACATGCCTTTGTTGGGAGGGGCCGGGGCTATTTACTCTGAGCTCAGAGAAAGTCAACAGCAAGAAGGGTGAGAGCTAGGTGGGGTCACAGCCCTGGACAGGCTCCTGACGCCCAGAGCACACAGACGACGCATTGGTGAGCAGCTAGTTTAGTTGGTAGACCAGATGACTACTGGACATTTATCCTTGGGCACTGCTGCACACAGCTTTCTTACAGAACTTATCCAGCTGCCTTGGACAGGGTGTCGTCAGGTCCAAGCTCTCCCAAACTCTCACGGGCTCCCCTGTTGATTGGCACTCTCTTCTGGAATATGGATTAGGATAAGGCTTGGGGAGTAGGGGGCTGGTAGAAGTTAGGGGGAAAGTTCTCAAGGTCAGTGAGTTCAGATGTTCAGCTTTTTTTTTTTTTTTTTTTTTGGTGCTAGGCTATGAGCACTAGCTAGCTGTCATGAAGTTTCTCTTCTGCATAAGAACCGAGGCTGCTTCATAACCGAAAACACTAGTGTGCAAGTGAGGCTCAGATAGCTTCTGGGCTTCACCTTGAGGGGCTACATTTTCTTCCACAAAATGGGCATCGTTGTAGCATCTTGTAGAATTGTTAAGAGGATTAAAGAGAAGAGCAAAAAACAGGGGGGTGGCAGATCCAGCTGGAGCACGTCTATTATTAGCCCGCATAGTACATTTCTAAATTTTGAGTTAGCTGCCAATGTTTAAAAGTGGAGAATTTCACATAAAAGAAATAACCTTTTCAGTTCCCTTCGAAATAACACCGGACCTGGCAGCAAGTCCTCAAGCCCATAAAGAAATCGTCAGCTAGAACGCAGCTCTGGGAACTGGGCCTGCACCGTGATCACCTGAAGGGATCGTGGAGATGTAGCTCTTGGAGAAGTAGGGCTGCAGCTCAGCTGGTAGAGAGCTTGCCTATCACACAGGAAGCACTGGGTTCAATGCCCAGCGCTGCTTAAACTGGACCTGGTGTCTCACTCCTGAAGGCAGGAGGATCAGGCATTCAAACCATCCTTGGCTACATAGCAAGTTTGAAGCCAGCCTATGCCATGTGAGAGAAGACCCAGAATGGGTCTGGGTGTTCCAGATGCTGCAGGTGAAGCGGCCACACTGGGGTCACCATGACGCAGAGCTAAACTGGCATGCTTTCTTTTTATGAGAGAGCTATTACCTTGTCCTGTGTATCCCACTGCCCAGTGCTTTGCCTCCTAGCAACAACCTGAGTACATTTAAATCTGTGGCCTGTGGGGTAGGCACGCCCTAGAGCTCACTAGCAATTGTGTCTACTTAGCAATATTCTGGGTTAAGATGCATCACTCCCATTTTGCAGATGAAAAAACTGTGGTTGGGTGAGGCAGAGTGACTTGCTGGTGGTAACCCAGACCATCAATTGCTCCTGTGGCTTCAGCTATTTCAATATTACACCCACCCACCCCATTCCACACATACTCCTGAGTTTAAAAAAAAAAACAGTGCATGTCTTTGTGGCACACACCTTTAATCCCAGAATGTAGGAAGCAGAGGCAGCAGATCTCTGTTGAGTTTGAAGTCTGCCTGGTCTGCATAGTGAGTTCCAGGCTGGCCAGGGCTACAGAGTGAGACCCTTTCTAAGAAAGAAGAGGAGGAGGGGAGTTGAAGGGAAGAGGAGGGTGATGGGGAGGAAGAAGAAGAAAAAATTAGTCA